TTTGAGAGAGTGAGAGAGATGAGAAGAGAGAGAGAAGAGTATGGAAGTGAGAGGAGAGGAGAGAGAGAGAGAGAGGAGAGAGGAAAGCGAGTAGTGAGAAAGTGAGAAAGTGAGGGAGAGAGAGAGAGAGAGAGGAGAGAAAGAGGTGAGAGGTGAGAGAGAGAGAGAGAGAGAGAGAGAGAGTCTGCGTGCGTGTGTGTCCGTGCGCGCACGTGCGTGCGTGCGTGTGTGTCCGTGCGCGCACGTGCGTGCGTGCGTGTGCGTGCGTGTGCGTGTATGTACGGTAGGGGGAGAGAGATGGCCCCGATAGGCAGCTATCACAATAAAGCGTCATTTGCGTGATCGGTCCTATATATGGATACGATATATATATATGATAAATATATATACGGCCTTATGTACGAGCGCTGCATATATGAGTGGTGAAGGCACGCATATGGCTTCCCATGCTAATATCTCTCACCTGCTCGTACTCCGTCGATGGTGCCGGCTGCAGAAAGCGCTGTCCTATCGGCTGTGATACTGCACCCGGAAAAAAACAAGCGAGAAAACAATGACTTAATTACTATACCACAACGGATTACGTTGTTACCGCAACTAGAACAGATGTGATTTAACTAACATAGATTGTATCAATAAACAACTAGAACAGATGTGATTTAACTAACATAGATTGTGTCAGTAAACAACTAGAACAGGTTGTAGAACAGGGTGGTGGGGTTAAACTAACATAGCTTTGGCCAGTAAACAACTAGAACAGGGATTAATGCAACATCCCGGTGTTCCATTTCATAGTCAATAATAATCATAGTAATAACGCAGGCCATTAGGCGAGCTTGCGAATACAAACAAGGGAGTAACAACTAGAACAGGATGGTGGGGTTAAACTAACATAGCTTTGGTCAGTATTCACTATATATGCAGACGAGTGTGCGCAGAAGCACGAATGCGGCACGATGCATGTTTACGCGTGTACTTTACCGCATTCACATCCACATCCGCATCCTTACATATACAATACAAGCAAGAGTTATTACTAGGCATTATTAGCTTTTTATGGAACCTATAAGACGTGCGCAGTGCTCCCCCTGCCCGTATGCTTACCTTGTAAGCTAGGTATGGTGAGTGAACGCAGTAGCACTAGCGCCATCATCGCCGATACGACGTAGAAGACTGCTGGACACGTCCTGCTCACCCTCCTCGCTGCGTGTCTCCCTCCATCCATCTCTGTGTGTGTGTGTGTGTGTGTGTGTGTGTGTGTGTGTGTGTGTGTGTGTGTGTGTCNGCTCTAGATTCTCGTACATGCCGACAAAGTCGTAGTCGACGTGGCAGGGGTTGCACAGACTCACCGCCGTCGCCCAGTGCGGGTTGTGGCCGACCCTACGGTAGCGGCCGACGACAGGATCGTTAGTGTACGACACGGGGTCGGACACGTACCTCAGAAACTCGCCAAAGGTTACCGTTTCGTTCCGCGCGATGGCGCCACCGGTAGCGTTGTTGCCGCCGCGGTACATGCGAGCGATGAGAGGCACGTACGTTTGCTGAAAGAGCGGGTTCTGCTCCACAAACTTATTCATGTACGCCGAGAGCAGTCGCTCGTAGGGATTCCGCACGAAGAGGAATTTGAAATAGTTGTCGAGTCTATACTGACGCTCTTTCGCATTGAAGGCGGCTAAGTAGGTCCAGTTGCCCCCCTTGCGGTGAACGAGAGATTTGTTGATTGTCGCCGGGTCCTTGGGAGGATGGTATCGCAGAGCGATTAACACTCGCTTCCAGTTCGTGGAGGCGATCTTTTGCACGTTGCAGTAGAGTAGTTTGTGTTCGTCGTCAACGATCACCTTTTTATAGTAGTTGAAGTTCTCTGCCTTGCCGAGCGCGCCCTTCGCAGACGCGTGCGTGAGGTTGGCTGCGCATGCGCGGTGCACTCTCCGTTTCCTCTTCGTCTGTTCGCGCTCCAGCCTGTTGATTTCATCCGGTAGCAGACGACTCTGCACCTGAAAGATAGAAATCATGTTCTCTTTTTGATTTCTCGAGTGTATATATATATATATATATATATATATATATATTAATATAGGTATCCCCCTCCCGAACCTCTCTCATCTCGCATGCTCCATTCCTAGGCCTAATATATATATATATATATGTCGAATCGAGGAGGATATGGTGTGCTATAAATTTCGTGTCGTGTCATCTGTAGAAAATAGTTATCACATAAAGAAATGAAAGTTGGATTATATTGATGCGTTTCTTATTTGTACGGGCGTTTTAAAAACATTCCTCTCAAATAAATTCAAGACACAACAGTTGTAATAACCCTTATTTATGACCTTTATTTATCTGTGGGACTATTGATAATACAAATTATTGGTTTAATGTTGTTTAATTAATTTGTGTGCTTGTAAGCTTTGCGCCTTCATTTGTATGTTTATATATACATACACACACACACGCACGCACGCACGCACGCACGCACGCACGCACACACATTACACACAGAAGAGACACACACACATAGAAAAACAAACACCAAAAACACAAAACAAAAAAACACACACACACACACACACACACACACACACACACACCACACACACGCACAAACATCACACACACACAGAACAGCACACACACACACACCACCAACAGCAGCACACACACACAACACACCACGGTACCACGCACGCCAGCCACGCACGCACCACGCACGCACAGCGCCACGCCACGCATGCAGGCGCGACAACATACTCACACACATACAATGTGTAATATAATATATATATATATATATATATATGTGGTGTTTAAATTGACTACGTCACGAATTTTCTATGGTGTATATTTAATAAAATTTTGTTGCGTTTTTTACAATGAAAGGTAAGTACATAACGGGACTAAAATGTATCCTACAAATTCTTAAACCTGATATAAATTTTCTCAACTAATAAAAATCCAAAACCTGGCGATTTGAAGCAGCCGCTATATAATGGAAACAATATATATATATATATATATATAATATATTATAATTATATATTATATAATATAAAATTTATTTATTTAATATACATATATATATGTATATAATATATATATACTATATAATATATATGGCGCCTAATGTACGAAGCGCTGCATATGCGCCACTATGTGTCACCCGAATACGCTTCCACAACAGCCCACGGGGCCGTGACAGTAACAAGAAGGAAGCTGTATGAGTGATGAAGGCACCGGACATATGGCTTCCACATGCTAATATGCTACTCACCTGCTGCGTACTCCTCGATGGTGCCGGCTTGCAGAAAGCGCTGTCCCTATCGGCTGTGTACTTGCACCCCGAAAGAAACCAAGCCCGAGAAAACAATGACCTACATTACTATACAGCGCGCCGTAGTGGCCTCCCAAAAATCGCACATGGTCAGAAATATGATCAGCCAATGCGGGGGTCTGGAGTACTCACCCAAGAGAAAATTTTGAAATGTAGAGAGCCTGAAAATGGCATCCTGCATTCAGCTATGTTGAAAAGCCAACCAAATCTGATCATTTTAAAAGGTCAGTTGGTAAAATTTCAAAGAAGAAGTAGCCTACAAGCTGATGTTTTGACTAATATGATAACTAATTAAAATATTATTTACAAAATTGTATAATATATCACGTACATAATTATGAAAAAAAGCCTAATTTTCAATCGCATTTATACTTTCACTATGTACAATCTATGTTTTGAAATTAGAATTGAAAGCACAATTGTCATCAGTTAAATACACATATCCACATTTTTCAAAATAGTGCCACGAGCGTGGCGGCCACTAACGGCCATGCTATACCACAACGGTTACGTTGTTACCGCAACTAGAACAGAGTGATGATTTAACTAACAATAGATTGTATCAGTAAACAACTAAGAACAGGTTGTTAGAACAGGGTGGTGGGTTAAAGGTGCCTGCTCGAAGTTTTCTAGGCGCAAACGTAAAATCAAGCAAAAATTAATTATATTTAACATGGTAACTTTGTACTTGCCGATATATGTATGATAGTAAAAAAAAACATTGCTCCATAATATGTCATTCAAAGCTTTTAGACTTACCAAAGTGAAAGTGTCGGGTCAATGTTTGCAAACTTTTGCCCTCACTGCGGCGATGTTTGTGAGCGCGTCTCTGTGGCGCATGCGGCTTGTTCCACCAAGCGTGAAAGCTCATGCACCTGTATATGCCTCACTAGATATCATAATAACACATGTGGTTACGGTGCGGATGTCTTAGCCGAATCGAATGCGCGCGCGATGATGACTCGATCTGGCTCGGAGCGAAACGCGCTGCTTGTTTGCGTGTGGTTAATGGTTATATTGCTTGATTTTAGCACAGTCGTTACCTAATAAACTATAAACCTTACTTCCTACTCGCTACTTATAACTCTCACTTCGTAGAAACCGCACCCGCCCTCCCGTATGCTCTAACGCGACAACCCGGTACACCCGCCCCTAGCCCTTCATATCCCTCGCTCCGTCGACCGGCACCACCGCCCTTCACATATCCGCCTCAACTTGACCGACCGCGCAGCACCTACGGCCCCTTCCTCGCGCTCGGGGTTTGCCTGCCTCTGCCTCGCTCGAAGCGATCCTCGCGACAACTCCGTAAAAAACAAGACGGCGGTACACGCCCTGTCAGGGTAGGCGCGACACAGTGAGCGACAGAACCTATACACGGCCAATGTGTAGTAAAGAGAAGAGAGAGAGAGAAGAGAGAGAAGAGAGAGAGAGAGAGAGACTAGAGAGAGAGAAGAGAGAGAGAGAGAGAGAGAGAGAAAACGTTACAATGTAACAGGGATTTAATGCAAACGTCCGGTGTTCCAAAAATTTCATCAAGTCAACTAAATAATCAAATGGTAATAACGTCAGGCCATTAGGCGAGCTTGTGAATACAAACAAGGGAGTAACAACTAGAACAGGTGTTAGAACAGGGTGGTGGGGTTAAACTAACATAGCTTTGGTCATGTGCTTCACTATACATACGGTGTCGCAGAAAACAGCACGAATGCGGCGCGTACTTGCACGCATGCTTACGCGTATACATTTCCGCATCCACATCCTTACATATACAATACAAACCAAAAGCTATCATTAGGCATTCTTAGGCAACCTAGAGGATTTATTAGGCAACCTAGCTATGAGCGCATAACTTCCCCTGCGCGCGCGCGCGTGTGCTTACCTTGTAAGCTAGGTATGGTGAGTGAACGCAGCAGCACTAGCGTCATCATCAATCCCGATAGCGACGTTAAAAAGACTGCTGGAACACGTTCCTTGCATCGCCCTCCTCGCTGGGCGTGTCTCCGCCTCCATTCCATCTCTGATGGCCTCCTCATCTCCTCTCTCGCTCTCTCTCTCTCTCTGTTGGTGTGTGTGTGTGTGTGTGTGTGTGTTGTGTGTGGTGTGTGTGTTTGTGTGTGTGTGTGGTTGTGTGTGGTTGTGTGTGCGGTGGTGTGCTGTTGTATGGATGTTGTGTGTGTGTGTGTGTTGTGTGTTTGTGTGTGTGCCGTCTGTGTGGTGGTGGTGTGGTGATGTGTGTGTGTGTGTGTTGTGATGTGTGTGTGTGTGTGTGTGTGTGTGTGTGTGTGTGTGTGTCTCCCATGCGCGCGGACACACGCTACTCACTGCACGTGTCCGTGCAATTGAACTCTTGATGTACTATATAATAATTATATAATATAATAACTCTTGAGGGCGCTAAGAACCCGTTTGATCGCTTGCCCGGTGTCGCGCGAACTTCCTATTACGTGTGACGGTGTGCGAAATACATGATATAGGATGCGTATGCGCATGCGTGTCGACCCAACCAATCTTAGCTCAGCTCAAACTGCATGCAGTGCCTCTTCCCCACACTCAGGATAATACTAGAATTGTAGAATAAGAATGAGAATAATAGAAATTCTATTCTAGAATAATAGAATTGAGCCAGAGCGAGAGCGCCATCTGTCGTGGAGTTTGAGCTCGGCTTTGTGTTACGATAAGTTGTGTACGGTTTCCTACACTTGGACGAACACAAACTGTGTTGTAATGTTTATATTAGTTAGAGTTGATAGGTAGAGATTAGGGGTGTGTGAATAAAGGGTAATTCTTCTACATTGTATAGTTCAGTGGTCGTGAGATGTCTCCCATGTCGGAGAGAGTTGGTTTGCATCGTGGATGTTCGTATGCATGGGACATGGAAGACGATCATTACGTAGGAATGCTCATTCTTGTCAGATATCATGTCGCTGTGCAAGGAAAATCGCGAGCTTTTCTTAAGAGTTGTAAATATGTAGAATTTGTAATGGAGACGGTATAAGAAAAGGCGCAGAAGAAAGCGGTGAGAACGTACCCGGCCCCCCGTTTTAATAATCCTTAACTAATAAATTGGGGAAATTGTCTGTCGCTGTGATGTGTGTCCCGGCTCTATACGTTCACCCACCGCTCCAACGTATCCTCCGCGATCCAACTTGTCGGGACCTTTCAGACACTCACGTCACACGGTCAACAGACTTCCTTCAGTCACGCCGGCGGTTTAGCCGTTTCCTACGTCACTGCTTATGCCGTCGTGGAAGTGCGCATGGCCTGCAGCTAAGATCTAGCTGGTCAGACAGCAATGACACCACTAAACGTTCGCGCCATATATGAACAATGTGGTCTACATACCCGAAGTTCTGCAACACCACTGGACGGGCCATGACCTAGGTATTTGAAAATCTACATTTATACAGTACGTACTACTGTCATTGTTACATACCTTGCAATATATTCTTCTACATATACTATTTAGTTCGTAAGTGTATAGTGATCATGCTATGCTATGTATGTATGTATGTAATCGTAGATGTATGTATTATGTAGTAGTATGCTGAATGTATGTATGTATATGTATTATTATGTATGTAATGTATGTATGTATGCTAGTATGTATTGTATGTATGTATTATTCCCTATAGGCAGGCCTAAACCCGCCCAAGCGATTCTGATGCACATTTTTCACAGGGCCAGTCTCCTAAATATACCCGGGATTGTTCGTAGCTTGAAAAACCTTGCCAAAACGTCAATACTCACCCGAAAAATCCCGTCAACAAACCCGTTAATTCGTCAATCTTTGCCACACGGGAATTCACCAACTCACTGCACAGTGCTGCCACAGAGAAAATCGAGTTTCCTCATCTCATCCGGCTGCTGTATTGTGGAACCCGAACACCGTACTAATAGACAGATGCACAACCTCAAGCGATATATTTATGTGGCAGTGGTCGTGTGTTACAGTTGAAAACGCTTCAAGTGCTGTGGTTACGACTTGCCATTTTTATCAATGAGGCCTTTGAGAAATGAGCAAGTGCACACCCACTTCGTACATGCTGTTCACAATAAACTTTTCTTATTTACACCATATACTATTATGTTCCAGGCGTTCCTACCGTTGGGTCTTGTGCTGTCATCAGTAAATCTCATTAACGTAACCGTTTATTTTGACCGCATCGGCTACTCTATATGATTACACTGCATCTTGTGAAAGTATTATAGAGATTCCACTATAGTTTAGTATGAGTATTATAATACGTTGACCGAGGTACGAATTGCCTCAAACATCAACGCATAAAGACGCGTACCAAAGTGAGTAAACATTCTTTGTAATTAACAAATTTCCCCAACCTCGCTCTGCCTGTCCGATAATATATACGACTTTGTTATTCATGCTAGCGCATTTCAGAATCCATGTACCATTCGACAAGCTATGCCTTTTTTCTGGATTCAGCTGAAAATTCCTTTATTCAAGTGTGCATGGTTGCGCCGCCAGCATTCACTAGACAATATCCAGATGGACACCGAGACCCCACCCTGGCCTGCTCTATCTATACAATACCCGAAAGTTTCGTTTAATTCATCCTACGGATCTGACAAGTGATACTATACGTGGTGAATCTCAACAGTTCGAGACGCCTCCAGCAATCTCTACAGCATTCCACCACACATACACCACGCCAAGACCAATTCGTTTATCACTGTTCACCTGAAAACGCAGTTACCATTCCCGCATTCGTACATCGCTGTTATAGCCAAACTTTTTTCATCATTGCCCCTATGTACTAATTCATGTTNCTATTTGTACGGCCGTTTCAAAAATATTTCTCTCGAATGTTGTTATAACCCGTATTTGCGACCTTTATATATCTGTGGGGCAATTAATAATACAAATTATTGGTTTAAATGTGTGTTCATTTGTAGGTTCGTGTGTAACCTCTAAATATATTGAGTGACATGTGCGGTGCTTAACGTTATCCGGGTTTCAGGGTTTATGTGACTCGTGAAATCAAGATTAGGGGCAAAAGCAAGGCGGATATGGTTTCATTCTTGATTTATTTTTTTAAATTAAGTGAACTATTACATAGTAATGTCGGGGTTGTATGGTCCCCTTGCGTAGCTCTATAAGCTCGCCATTTTGTTTGTTGAACACACATATCTATCACTGTATGAATTAGATACCGGAACATATATGTATAAATAGCTTAATTAAATCATATAAATCGATATCGATAAAATGATAAAAATCACACTTGCATGAATTCTAGTCATTCCGCCGTCATTTCTGCGATTTTTGCAAATGAAAAACTATGCTTTCAACATTCTGTTTGATTATGTTACATACCCGGCAAATATTACAAGTCATACCGCAACATTATTAACATATGAAATACATAGGAGACACATGTATACAAGACAAACTGTATAAAGAAACAAACAACTTCTGATTAATAATAATAATCTAACACCTAGGATTTTGATAAGAACNGTATATATATATATATATATATATATATATATGAGTCGAATAGAGGAGGATATGATGGTATAAATATCGTGTCGTGTCATCAGTAGAAAATATCACATAAAGAAATGAAAGTTGGATTATATTGATGCGTTTTTATTTGTACGGCCGTTTCAAAAATATTTCTCTCGAATGTTGTTATAACCCGTATTTGCGACCTTTATATATCTGTGGGGCAATTGATAATACAAATTATTGGTTTAAATGTGTGTTCATTTGTAGGTTCGTGTGTAACCTCTAAATGTATAGAGTGACATGTGCGGTGCTTAACGTTATCCGGGTTTCAGGGTTTATGCGACTCGTGAAATCAATATTAGAGGCAAAAGCAAGGCGGATATGGTTTCATTCTTGATTTATTTTTTAAAATTAAGTGAACTATTACATAGTAATGTCCGGGTTGTATGGTTCTGACGTAGCTCTATCAGCTCGCCATTTTGTTTGTTGAGCACAAATATCTATCACAGTATGAATTAGATACCGGAACATATATGTATAAATAGCTTAATTAAATCATATAAATCGATATCGATGAAATGATAAAAATCACACTTGCATGAATTCTAGTCATCCCGCCGTCATTTCGGCGATTTCTGCAAATGAGAAACTATGCTTTCAACATTCTGTTTGATTATGTTACATACCCGGCAAATATTACAAGTCATACCGCAACATTATTAACATCTACATATGAAATACATAAGAGATACGTATGTGTGTATACAGATATGTACAAGACAAACTGTATAAAGAAACAAACAACTTCTGATTAATAATAATAATCTAACACCTAGGATTTTGATGAGAACTTTTGATTATATATATATATATATATAATGATAAAAAACAGAA